AAATCATTTTATAAGAGAGCTAATTTATTGGTCAACAAGAAGGCAGCGGTCTTAGGGTTGTGGCTTATTACGTTCTGCTCTTGGATTCTTGAGAAGATTTCTTCTCTTCTTGCACAAGAAGTAAAACAACCTCCAGTCTTGGGGTGTTCTGGAAACATCATGGAGGTGATATCCTTCTCTCTTGCACCTTTCTCTCCACAAAGATTCACTGTCAGCCACATCTTTCCATTGATGGCTCACAAACCGACAAACATGAATCACCTGATAGGGTGGAAGATTCAGGAAGATCTCCTCCAGGATCTCCAGAGGAATAGGGAACAACTGATTGAGAAGAAAAACTGAACAGTTCAGTTTCCAAGACTAATTGTATTTGTCTCATTATTACCCAAACAGAAGTTATACAGCTAAACAAAAGCTGTTGAAATACATAAGGCTGTTATTTCTGAGCCAGTTCTGTTGCTCAGTTGAATCTTTTCTTGAATGATTTCTGGTTTGTAGGTTTTCCCTTCTTCTAAAATGAAAGTGGTTTGTTCAGGCTTAACTTCACCACCTCCCCAAAATATACTCACAGAAACCAAGACAGATTGCATTTGTGCAACCACCTTCAACACATAAAGTCAAATATTTTTACAAGCGGACACTTCAATCCAGTAGCTGACAAATGTAAAATAGGGCATCATATCATATGTCTGAAACATTTAAATGTTATGGTCAAAAGCCAAAACGTTTATAGGGTGATTTCAGGTGAAGTGGGGCATTTTAATTCACCGACTTTCTATGAGTAGTTTTGTTTATGCTTGAAAGTGCAATCACTCAGTCTGAAATCCTAATTTATCAAATACCGCCAGGCCTACTTGGAATCGAATTTAAAATCAAATTCTCTAAAAATCTTTTGACTATAGGCAACATTTTGGGGATTTTAAAACATCATATTAATGCCATTCTTATCAATCCAGTATTTGGTTTGTCCTTGATAAGTGTGCAGTTCAGCCTGAAACCACCCTGCTGCTGCAAGTGTTCAAATGAAACGTACATATGAGAATAATAGGATTACAACCTGAAAACTAAACTACGAGGTGCACACTTACATCTTCATTTGGAAGCGATGTTGATGGCTTTGTAGCTGAAGACACCTGACTGCCCATAGCTTTAGCTTTCCTCATCATTCCTGGGAATAACTCAGACCTGACGAGCAACACAGCCAAATGTATTCAACCATATACCTATGCGTAGTACTACAACTTGGCATCTACGACTGAAGGTACAAGCTAACTAACGATAACCGGTTCCTCTCATTTATGCCTTCCAGCAGTCGATCATGGAAAATCCCCAAAAAAAGCCCGTAAAACGACCTTCTAGTCATTATACCACCCACCAAGAGGTTGATCATTATTTGCTCCACCACAACCTGGCAGACCCTGAAGGGGTGGGCGGAGCTAGACACTGCATTCAAAGCCAGAGTAGTTTAGATGAATCCGCATTTAAAATAATATTTACAGCCTTAGTCTATTTAAAACAATCAGCTCCACTTCAACCAACTACAATGGTTAAATGCTGCTGTAAAGAAGCTGTGCATTAATGCCTTGATAACTATAATCAAATGGTATAATATAGCACCAACAGTGACAGAGGTCCATTTTCTGACATATCTACTCTGTAGCAGCTGCAGAACACTGTTCTGGTCACTAAGTCCTTCTGGCGTTTCCCGTAAGTCCTTCTGGCATTTCCCGTAAGTGCCACTGGCCATCGAGGGATTACTGAGTGGGCCCACGGGGTCATAGGGTGCTCTTTATCCAGCCCTGACAATGAGGTCATGCTACTGTAATTCACTGATTCCTTTAAATGACATTGAGTCCTCCACTGATCCAGCTTTGTACGACTTAAAATATGTTGTCACTCCACCTTTTAATGTATTGTGACATTGCTATTTACTGAGAAAAAAAAACTTTGTTGTAAACTATATGGTGAAAAAGTGGAGTGCACAGCTGCTGACACTTAAGTAATCATTTATAATGCCAACAACAAATTAACCTGAGAGACCCCTGCAAGCCTTCATAAGTCTGCAATTATACTATAATTTAGTAAATCGTTAGTCATCTTATATACAGCTCTGCTACTATTAAAGCCAACTTCTCAATTTGTAATCAAATACTAATAAAGGTTAGTCACCTATACATCATTAATAATCAATAAAGTCTGTAGTTTTCAATGTTAATAAGCTGTTTATGAATTGATTTTGGCCTAGAAGCAGAGTGGTCAAATAGTCCAGTGGAGGGGTCTCTCTGACAAATTAAACACTTTAGCTAAAACAGTGTTATGAATCTTAGTGTTCTGTGGGTGGACGATTTTCCACAACCTGGCAATCCAAGAGTTGGTCATGTGAATGATTATAAAGAATTTGTTAACCAGTAATAGAGCCGTTACCTAGAGAATACATTAACTGTGCCTCGTACCGACATGTCACGTACACTCACCATCATCACTGTGGTAGTTAGTCTCCAGCCTGTGAAGTGTTCTATTTCTGATAAATATGGGCTGCAAACATATAGTCTAAGATTTTTTTAATTATACTGATCATCTGGTTGTATTGGTTACAACACTATATCATTACAATTATCACGAAAACCTCAATCTTTAACATGTAAACCTGATCTGATGATCTAACAAATGGTTGTTAACTAGTAAATCATGTATCTGAGCAATCAGGTGACAATATCGTGGAGCAGGGAGGATAGTAAACTGACAGAAACAGAATAACTTGATAAAAAAAACCTCAGGTTTTTTGTCTCCACTCTTTGCATTATGCAACAAATAGGATTACTGAAAGGGGAGCGCTGCGTTTTCCACAGGAAATACTGTAAAGACCGTCTGTGGCCGTGCTTCAGTTGATCCACTCCTTTTCTTTATGGCACACACTGACTGACAAGTGAAGGGAGGAGAAGATTCATGAACATCATAAATGTTTCTCTTACCATTACCTAAAACATGCAACTTTTTGAAGTATCAAAATGTTCAGTACTATCAGAGAGATTGATGTTTAATAACAGGGTAAATAAACAGAGGAGCATTCAGGTCTTCATTCACATAGGCACTGCAGTTTCTGTACAATACAGTACACAGAACCTGATCATAAATTACAAGCCAGACCAAAAATAAATGGATACCAAGATAGCAGCCATTGATTTTGGTGTCATAACAGAATTTCAAACAGGCCACAACCCTGTCCATGGATACTGAATTATTATGAGTCCAGTCAGTGATGCTTTTACTCTGCTCTGCATGTTTAAATGAATATAAAGACAAAAGGCAAATGCACAATTTCTGAGCAACAAGGACTTAGATCCATCTCACTTCTAAAACAAGTTAGTCCATCTTCTGTCACACAGCTGAGAGATGAGTCCCTTTGGTTAGCAGAGGAGCTCCTATGTGTCTGTGTCAATCCTGTGAGCTGTACAGTAGGAAACCAGAACAAAGAAGTCAAAAATGAGGCTGCTGACAGACACGTGAAGGTGGCAGGTAATATATAGCTCCGAAGATTTTAGGGCTTGAAGTAAAAATGCCCCAGCTGTCAGGGTTAGGCAGATCAAGACAATATATGATCTACCAAATCATTAACCCACGGTGTCAAAGCTAAGCATTACAATAATGAGAGCAAAAAGACAACGCATTCGCTTATGAGGGACTCACTGTCCTGCGTAGTAGATCAAGGGACTTACATTGCTTTGGTATCCTGAGTGGCTCTGTGTCTCCTGACAGGACTTGGTGCATGACTCCACGGAACTGATACAGCACCTTCAGGCTCTTCTCCTCCCCCACACAGGGGTCGTAGAATCCAGGGAGTCCGGACTGGAAAGACACCACAAAAAAGGTCAGTAGTAACAGATGGAATCATCACACAGCAAACTGAGGACATCAGTTTGAGACAGTGTCAAACATTCTGATCACGTTTATATACTATGTAAAAACATGTTTTCTCTCTGCCATTATGGGTAACTGAGTGTAGATCAGTGTGCAGTATGGCAGTTTTATCCATTTCAAATTAAATCTACAAAGTGTGCAAAAAGTGAAAGGGTCTGAATTCTTTGTGAAGCCCCAATATAGAAATGTTTTATCTACCAGTAAATCCTTTATCAGTGGATACAATAACACAACTCTCATCTACTTTACAGTAACTTCATACTGTATTATGTACTTTGGCTCAGTTCTGTGGGTTTGCCCTGGATCAATGCACTGACCTTTGTGGTCTCAGTGAGGATGAGTTTTGAGTCTTTCACCAGACACTGAAGTGGCACAGTCACATCAATGACCTTTGCCCTCTCGTGTTTTCTACTGTTGTCTGTCACGAACTTGCCGTACCAGGCGTTGAGGATGATGAGACCTGATTGAACAAGCAGCATCGAAGACAGTGTTGATCAGTTGTTCATCTAATGTATTAACCTGTTATTTCATGTTTCTAAACTAATTGTTCATCGAAATGCCCACTTTCAGACAACACAGACATGAATTTTTGGATGAACTGATTGAAGTTCATCCAACACAAATCCCCACCGCAACTGTAGCTACACAGGTTATAACGGAATCAGTGTCATTTTTTAAACGTATTTATTAAAGCAATTTGCGAGTACACAACAAAAAGCACAAATCATTATTTTGAAAGCTGTAACAATATTGTAACAATTTCATGGCATGTAGTCTGCTAAATAAAGCAGAGCAGCTGTTTTCCATCACACACACACACACACACACACACACACACACACAGAGCTATTAACTGTTACTTTAGAAGTGCAAAGTCTAGGGTACCTCTGATGATACTAAAGTCAAAGCACTCTCCACAGTGACAGGTGTCATAAGCCAATTATCACTTGCAGAACCCCCTTGGTGAAAATTATACTGTCTGCTGAGAGCTTTATGTTAGTGTACTTATCAAAAGCAAACTAAAAAAGCCCCTGTTATCACCAGTCAAAAGGGAAGCTGGAGGATCATTAAAACATTCACTAAACTCTATTCCTCTATTAGCTATTTTAACTTGGATTAAAATGACATAATCATCTACAAAAGAGAGACACTATAATTGACCACTAAGTCTCCTATACTACAGTCGAGGCCCACACCATAGTCTAGACCTCACACTCTGAAGCAACATTCATTCAGACATTGTTTTCACCATATTTCAAATAACATGTGAAAAACAAAATATAAGGCAACTGCTTAAAACACATTAGTCCCAGGACAAGCTCATCGCTTAAATATTACAGATCTTACCCATTCTAGACTCCTCTGCTTCGATAATCCTGCGCACAGACTCCTGCATGAGCAAGACCTTTAGAGATGAAAAGGCACACACGCAGTCAGGGAAGGAGACACACAGATTTCACATCATGTGTTTTATACTAATGAATTTCACTAAGACTGTGCCTTTTCTAATCCGATCGCAGTCCCTTCGCCTGGCGTTTGTGGTACAGTAACACACAGTACTGGCACCTCTTATCTAGCACTGAACCAGGATGTGGGATTGGCATCACGGCTCCATGTAAGCCTGCAGAAAACTCACCGCAGCCTCTGCCTCCTGCTTCTTCTTGGCTATGTTAGAGGCCGAGCTCTCCCGCTGCTTGTCCAACTCTCTGTTGATTTAGAAGAAAACCGGAGAAATCAAATCTGGCTATAATAATGCATGTGCTGCTACTTCCAATAACATTTCTTACATGAATAAACCAACTTAAAATGAAGGTTTCTTACTGTTCTTTCTGGGCCCGCACGTAGGGCCGGATAATGAGCTGCTGGATGGCGAGGTAGAAGGCCAGTGGTCCAACTGTGGCGTAAAACACAGCGCTAGGCAGGAGTTGGTCAGTTAGGTGAATCGGGAAGAAATATGTCTGGCTGGCTCTGTTTAGTCTGCAGATGGAGAGCTGGCTTCATTATTTACATCTAACAGCCAGTGACTGGATGCTAAAACTGGAAACTGGATGCTAAAACTGGATACTCCATGTATTCATTATGGGAATTTCAGTTTGAACATGGCAGAACACTAAGATCATTTTCAAAAACAATTAAAGTTCAGTATTCCACCAGCTATGTACACCCATCTGCTTAAACCTGAAACCCCAGCAAAGTGAAAAGATCTGCCAGGTCCGACGACAGTGAGCTGTGTAATGACTGGCAATTAATTGTGTGATATGTTCTGCTGATGCCTGTCTGAGTGTGTAAAAAAATAAGACGAAATACTGTATACACACATTTTTTTGAGTCTAATCTTATGTGCACATCCTCACAGGTGCATCCCCAGCACAGACGTTTCTATGGGTGCCATGACAACAGGGCTGTGTGGAAAACCCCATGGAACCTGGAGACTAGAGCAAAGAGGCTTATTTACTTGATCTTGAGGGAGACGCCTTGGGGCACTCCCAC